AGGCTGGTCTTGAACTCCTGACCTCAGGTGATCCACCCTCCTTGGCCTCGCAAAGTGCTGGGATTACAGGCGTGAGCCACCACGCCGGGCCCAGGCTGGTCTCTTAACTTTTGGCCTCAAGTGATCTTCCTACCTTGGCCTCCTAAAGTGCTGGGATTACAGGCGTGAGCCACTGCGCCTGGCCCAGACACGCTTGTTTTATGATGCATGCCAGGAACTTCTGCTTCTTGGAACCTGTGCTTTCTGGACAAGGAGCGCAGGTAGTTTGAGGCATGATGGCAAACTCCCAAGTGATTACTTGTCAGAATAAAAAGAGCCTGGAGTCTCAATTCCTTCTCCACTCCAGCAAAGCTGGAGCTCCCTAGTGAAGAATCAGCTTGTTTAGATTGCAGCACCAAGCAAATGTGAGGAGCCCGGAAATCTGGTTCCGGTTCGGCCGAGCACTAGTGGGGGCCCTCTGGGAGGCACCATTGATCTGCCTGAGTCTTTTTCCAGGGGTAGAGCACTCCATTGAGCTCACCAGGACACAGTGAGCCACCAGTCAGGTTTGGGTGGAAAAGCCTTTTGAGAAGTACAGGAGTTTCAAATCAACATCTTCTGAGGCTTTGCTTGCCAGTAAAGGGGGAAAGCGGCTGACATGGACCTTGTTTTTTTCCCCTATCAGATCACTGGATCAAAGTTTCCATACAGACACTCTTAAATGAGAAGTCTGCTCTGTACAGAAGTTACCGGCTGAAGGTGAGTTCTTTCCTTGGTCTGTTAACGATGGTGATTATCTGTACATGTATACCACTCAAAGTAAATGCAAAAAGTGGATTTACTCCCTGGGTTCAGTCTTAGTCCTTGGGGTTTGGTCTCTGGAAAGAGGTCGAGGCAGCTGTTGGACCCGGTCAGCTCTGTCTGCAGACCATATCTCAGTGTGGCCCTGCTCCTCTCGCTACCGCCGTTGCTAAGCCCTGGTCCTGGCCGACAGCGCCTCACTCCTGGATGGCTGCAGTGGCTTCTGGCTGGGTTCCTCACTTCCTTTCTTCATGCAACACTGTCTCCATTCAGGGCCAGAGAAGTGATGAGTTAGAAATACAGTTGAGTTGGCCGGGCGTGCTGGCTCACGCCTCTAATCTCAGCACTTTGGGAGGCTGAGGTAGGCGGATCACGAGGTCAGGAGATCGAGACCATCTCGGCTAACGTGGTAAAATCATGTCTCTACTAAAAATATAAAAATTAGCCGGGCATGTTGGTGCTCACCTATAGTCCCAGCTACTTGGCAGGAGAATTGCTTGAACCTGGGAGGTGGAGGTTTCAGTGAGCCGAGACCGCACCATTGCCCTCCAGCCCGGGTGACAGAGCGAGGCTGTCTCAAAAAAACGAAAAAAAGAAATACGATTGAGTCACCCCAGTAGCTTCTCATCACATTTGGCAAAAAAATCTCAAGTGCTTACCACGGCCATCAGGACCTGAGGTGACCTGGCCCCTGCTTGCAAGCTCTGGGCTTGTTTCCAACCTTCCTCCTCCCCATTCGCTCTCCTGCAGAGCACAGGCTCCTTTGCTGTCCCCTGAATGCGCTCAGCCCCTTCCTGCCTCTGGGCCTCCGCATGTGCTGTGCCTTCAGGCTGCGGGGCCCTCCCGGAAGGGCCCCGTATTCCCCCTGTCTACTTCCTTTGGTCCCAACCAGCCATCCTAGGACAGCCCTGTGCCCACCCACCTCTGCCTCCCTCCCTTCGCCCTTGGCATATACCAGCCCTCAGCTTTGTGTGGTTCGTCCACTGATTCCTCACGCTGTCACGTTCACGAGATCCACAGCTCCTTGAGGGCAGGGACTTTGTGCCCTCGGTTCTGTCTCCAGTGCCTAAAACAGTACCCCACGCTTGGTGGGCTCCAGGTACATTTGCTGCACCAATGAGTGAATGAACGACACACTCAGGACGGGTCTGGTTGGTCCAACAGGCCAGCACTAACTCTCCCTTTTTTTGTGGCAGGGTCAGGGTCTTACTCTGTTGCCCCAGCTGGCATGCAGTGGTGTGATCATGGTTCACTGCAGCCTTGACCTCCCGGGCTTAGGTGATTCTCCCACCTCAGCCCCTGGAGTAGCTGAGAATACAAGCACCACATCCAGCTATTTTTTTGATTGGAGACGGGGCCTCACTATGTTGCCCGGGCTGGTCTACTTACCTTGGCCTCCCAAAGTGCTGGGTTTATAGATGTGAGCCACCATGCCTGTTCTTCTGTCTTCTGGGGGAAGCTCATCTTGGGCTTGGGTTTCCCTCCACTCCGCTCAGCGTCTCAGGTCTCACTCAGTGTCTTGGATTCGGTGCCTGCATTGCGACAGATGCCTGGTGAGCGTGTGTCAAACCTGGCTCAGGGCCTTGCATGTGGAAAGCACTGAAAAAGTATCTGATGAGCCAGTCTCTCCCACCCACCATTTCCATTCTTGTCCTGGAGAGGAAAATCTCCAGACTGGGAGACCAAGCACTGGTCTAGGTTACAGAGTAGGAGCCGGAGAATTCAGAGCCCAGCCAGCCCTCTTGGCTGCATGCCATCCTTTTGTGGCTCAAGATGCAGCAGAGTGCGCATGCTCATGGCCTCTGTGTCTCCATGAGCCATGAGCACGCCATGTTCTGACAGACACGGAGGGTGGCAGTGGGCCAGGAACACAGCCCATCACAGTGGGGGCTCCCTGTGGATACCCAGACTGTGGACTGGGCAGACTCCAACTCATCTTTTCTCCCCTCTCAGGAGATTATTAGTATGGGCCTGACCTTCCCCAGCCTCTAACTTACAAGATTTCAAATGAAAGTAGGCTTGTGTGCTTTTAAGCATTTTCAGTGACAAGTGGTGGCCAGTGCTGTCACAGGAACTGGGTAAGGACTATGGGGCCACATCACTTCGTGATCACCAGGAGAAAGGCTCCATGACCTCTGGGCACCTCCAACCCCAACACCTGGCCATGTTCTGGGGGCTGGGCCTGGAAAGTGGTCCTTGGGTGGAGTCTCCCGCCATTGCCACTGTCTTCCCCAGGCTCTCCATCCCAACTGGTGTCAGCAGGTCAAGTTCATCCCCCAGATGAACCTGGTGGTCTCCTGTTCGGCCGTCGAGAAGTCCTCTGTGGTGCTGACAATATTGCCAGCAAAAGCCTCTGAGAAACCCAAGTAAGAAGCACTTCCCTCCTGGCTGTGGCGGTGGGGTTGAAAGGGAGGGGGGTGGTGAGTGGACCATGGTGAGGGTCTAGTTTCCCTTCAGCCACATGTGGACATCCCTACCAAGAGGGGACCCACCTCTGCGTTAGTGGCATCTCTGGTGGGCAGACCAGTGGCCTGCAGATTGCACCAGGTTCCAGGAAGCAGGGCCTGTCCTCTGGGCTGACAGTGGGGGATGGTGGTTGGAGTGTGGACTCTGGAGTCTAGTTTCTCTGGCATTGCCACCAGCAGCACGGTGAGAACACAGTAGCCTCTTTTATCTCCCAATTTATATGCAAAACTCAGCATGGAAGCCAGCATAGAATGAGTGGCAGTCAGTGAAATGTTTTCTTAATGAAGGGATGACTATGAGTTACCTTCTCATCTGTGACTCTCAGTTTCCTCCTCTGTGAAAGGATGTGAAAGCACATACTTCCAGCCTGGCATGGTGGCTCATGCCTGTAATCCCAGCACTTTGGGAGGCCGAGGTGGGTGGATCATCTGAGGTCAGGAGTTCGAGACCAGCCTGGTCAACATGGTAAAACCCCGTCTCTACTAAAAATACAAAATTAGCCAGGTGTGATGGCTCGTGCTTGTAATCCCAGCTACTTGGGAGACTGAGGCAGAAGAATTGGGAGGTGGAGGTCGCAGTGAGCCGAGATTGTGCCACTGTACTCCAGCCTGGGCGACAGAGTGAGACTCTGTCAAAAA